CACTTTAGGTTTGATATTTATTTAACCTTATTAACCAACTTATAATCATTATTAGAAAGACATTACAATTTATCCCTTTTAACTGTTAACAAAAAAAAAATTAGGTTGTTTAAGTTAAACTAAAATTTATATTTAAGTTAACCCTGTAATGTTATATTTAAATTAATAATTTAAGTGTTTTATACAAATTATTCAAAAATTATATCTTTAAAATGATAGTGGTTTACATTCAACAATATATTAAAATAATAAATTTAGTATAATATGTTAAAAGTTAAAAATATAACTTTATAAGTAGAAGTAAAGATATTATTTTAATATTGAATTTTAGTTTATATATGATTACACTTTAGGTTTGATATTTATTTAACCTTATTAACCAACTTATAATTATTATTAGAAAGACCTATATAGTTGAAGTCTTTACAAATATATGTTTTTTTTTAATATAACAATAACGTTGTTGTTAAATTTGATATAATAATTCGTATACTAAATTGATATAATGTATTGATTATTTTGAATTATATGATAATATATACATCTATTATAACTGCATAATCTCAATCGTTTGAATGACTTCTACCCGTGAGTTATACATGAATAAAATTAAATATAACATATGGTTTAATGTTATTTATAATTGTTGTTATTGTTAATTAATTTTTTAAAATTTATTTGCTTAATGTTTTAATTTTTATCATTATAATTATTTAAAACATCAAACATTGTTTTGTTGATTTTAAAGGTAACAATATAATCATTTATATAGAGTTATTTTTAAGTATTGTTATTGTAAGTTATTTTAAACTATTTATTTGAAAACTTTTAACGATTATAAAAATATCTTTAGGAAAAATTTTAGTTAAATTGAGATTACAATTTAGTTTTTGTATTTATCACTAAAATTTATCACTTTTAACTATTTACACAATATTTTTTGGTTTTTTAAGTGGACTGAAATTTATATTTAAGTTGACATTGTAATGTTATATTTAAAATAACAATTTAAGTATTTTGTCCAAACTATTCAAAAGTTGTTACTTTAAACTGATAATGGTTTACATACAACAACATATTAAATCGAATAAATTAAGTATAATATGTTAAAAGTTAAAGATATAACTTTATAAGTTGAAGTAAAAATATTATTTTAAAATTGAAATTTATTATATTTATGATTACACTTTAGGTTTGATATTTATTTAACCTTATTAACTAACGTATAATCATTATTAGAAAAACACTACAATTAATCACTTTTAACTATTTACAAAATATGTTTGGGTTGTTTAAGTTAAACTAAAATTTATATTTAAGTTGACCCTGTAATGTTATATTCCAAATAATAATATAAGTATTTTATACAAATTGTTCCAAAATTGTATCTTTAAAATGATAATGGTTTACATCCAACAATATATTAAAACTAATAAATTAAGTATAATATGATAAAAGATAAAAAAAATTACTTAATAAGTAGAAGTAAATATATTATTTTAATATTATAATTTAGTTTATATGTGATTACATTTTAGGTTTGATATTTATTTAACCTTATTAACCAACTTATATTTATTATTAGAAAGAAATTGAAAAGTAATGAGAGTTTCAAATGAATGTGGTGAAAAGAAAAAAATAGATGGGAGTTTCAAATGAATGTGGTGAAAGGAAAAATGATTCCTTTATAATATAGTATGATGATAGATATAGACTAGTTGTTTAATTCATGTATTACATGAGTTAATGTCAAAATATTTAAGAACTTTCAATTTATAAGAAAATAAGAAAAATAATGACTTATTATAATGAAAATGTTTTTTTTTATCTTTTAAATTTTAATAAATAAAGAAACTAATGAACTTTAATTTTGAGAATTTTGAAATTAAAAGGTAAGTTTATTAATGAAATTGATATTAATTTATTACTACATTTATTGCAATTATTATATTAAAATTTTATATTGAATTTAATAAAATAAAAACTTATAAAATGACATGTGTAAAAAAATTAATTCAAAATAACCATAAAATGACATTTAATAAATTGAATGAGAGTGTGACAAATGGCAAAAAAAAACTTTTATTTATTAGAGAGGATTAAAAGAACTTTCAGAACAATTTTTTCATTAGGTTGTTATTATTGCATCGATATCGATAATTGTTAAAAACTGATATGAGAATAGTTTATTTTTTATTTTTTATATTGATATGGACGCAAAATTTTCAGAGTTTATAATCAAAGATAAATATAGCTACTCCATGGTAATACGGCAAATTTAGAAAACACTTGAAAAAGTAAAAAATTCTTACCATGTCGTATATCTAATAAAATAAATAATTTCCTAAATAATAAAGACAAATTGAACAAAAAAAATGTAAAAATAAACGCTAGAAGGAGGGGTCGAACCTCCGACCTTGTGGTTAACAGCCACACGCTCTAACCAACTGAGCTATTCCAGCTTTGTGTTTAGTTAATTTAAATAACAATATAAATCCGTCCATTTATCCATGCATAAATGAATTCCAAATTACATTTGTAGGAAACTAAGAAGTAAGAAGGGATATGTGTAGTATTTGCTTTTTGACTTTTACATACATATATAGTAAATCAAAGATTATGGAAATTCATGTTCAAATTCAAATGAAAACAAAATAATTAGTGCTACTGTCTGTAAAAGTTATAACCCATGATTACACTGAATCCACTTTTCAAAAAATCTTGAAATACTTTCACACCACACCGAAAGAAACCACCTTTTATGATATTGATATCCCCCTTTTAACTCTTTCACCACTATTTCCAGACACCAACACTTTCTTTCATAACTCCATTAATGCCTGCTACAACAAGCTCATGTTCATGGCCTCCGGCATGGACATGGCTACTTCTCAACTTCTTCCTCTTTCTCCCTAAAATACCCTCATCCCACGTACCCCCCATCGTCCCTACCTGCAGGGACAAGTGTGGAAATCTCACTATCAAGTACCCTTTCGGCTCCGACTTCGGCTGTGGCCATCCGGATTTCGCTAGATACATAAAATGCACCTCCGGCGAGCTCCGGTTCTCCTCCGGCACCGGAATTTACAGTGTCTCAAGCATAGATTACACCACTGCCACCCTCGTCCTCACTGATCTCTTCATGTCAACATGTTCTTCCATGCAAAACTCCGGCAGCTTTCGCCTGGATCGGGGCAACCCGTTTACGTTATCGTCACAAGATACATTCATCCTACTTGGGTGCTCCAGGACTTCGCCTGTGTTCGACCCGAACGAGGATTTGTGTGATACGGGTTCGGGTTTGCATCTTTGTAGGGGAATGTATTCTTGTGAAGGGGTTACCGGAATCGGGTTGGAACCAAATGCGCCTGTTTCGAGCTGTTGTGTTTATCAACCCGTTATAGATTTCGGGTCGGGTTACTGGTTGGATCTACCGAAACTTCAGTGTTCGTCTTATGTTTCGATGTATGGATTCGGTGGTGATGAAACGGATCCGATGAAATGGCAATTTGGTATTTCTTTGGAGTATAATAACTCGTATTATACTGACACGTGTAAGAGTTGTGAAGCGAGTGGTGGGTTTTGTGGGTTTGCTGGGTTGACTCAGTCCTTTTCTTGCATTTGTCGTGGTGGTGGGAATTCGACGACTAATTGCTTTGGGCGAGGTATGTACTATGTACAGATTTTAATGCATATGGTAAAAGTTTGGATTGCATATTATGACATTTGGATTTAATGTGGTTAGCGTATGCTTGGAGTGGGACATGGAGACACAAAATTCAATCCAAGATAAGTTTTGGAGGTAAGATGAAATGAAATGTCGATATTGCCCTCTTCCTTTTTTCATTAGATAAAAGCTATAAATATGAAAAGGAAAGTATTTTGTAAAGTTAAGCCAACTCTTGGAAACTAGAAAGATCTGTGTACTAATTTAGCACAAAATGAAAGTATTGACTATTGTTATATACTTATATTTCTATGTTTAAATGCCAATCTTTTGTTTTTCAGGAATTTTGCTCTTGTGGGTGGTGCTTCTCCTTTAAATTTGTTAGGGAATTTGGTACTTTCTTGGTTTAAGAATCAAGAACGACTCATTTTTATTCGAAATAAATTAGTATCTATTTCATAGTTTAGAAAATTATTATTTATTTGGCTTAAATATCAAAGATGATAAGTTGTGGTCTATGTATTTATATGATGTTTAAGAAGAATAAACATAGTTATCACTTAATTACTATGAACTCTAATGCATCGGTCACATCCTGTGTGAAAGTTTCAACAAAAAACTTACCTTCCGTCATAAATGATGTTGGTTGACTATAGACATACAAATGGAAAGTAGGAATAAAATGTTTGTGCTACTTCGATTTCAATAATAGATACTAGATTGGTAACCCCCGTTTCGCGGGGGCAGAGGGACCAGATGTGTTCCTATGATATCGGTTGTAACCTTTGTTCAAGATATTTCGTATCTATTTAAGAATCTGTTAATAGAGCAGATAATTATATTAGGGAATAAGGATCAAAAGATATCATTCATTAGAATTAGTGGTAACAGATAAATATCTTAGGCGATAAGGATCAAAAGATATCATTCATTAGTTGATATTCGATTACAAAAGTGTCCATTCATTAAGGGATGACTACTGGACATTTAATTACAAAAGAGTTGGTGTGGTATACTTCGTCATGGGGCTTAGTGGTCGTGAATGATTTTCTTGCAGATGTCTGTTGCTGCACTCATGTTCTCCTGCATCGCTTGGAACATGTCGAGCATGAGCACGGTGTCTTGGTCGAGGTTGTTGATGAAGGATTCGGTGATGACAACGTGCCTGTATGACATTTCCACTGGAGCTTCTTTTATCATATTCTGCCTTGCTTCGTTGATGCTGGTGTATGTGTTTTGGACCATGGCCAATGATTCCTTCATTGTCTCCAACTGGTTTTGCAGAAAGAACCACACTGCCAGCTCTACAGCAATAAGTGTACCTTGCGTGAGCAGCTGTAGAAATATTAAGAGCCCTCTCCACATACCAGAAAAACGCACCACAATA